ATGAGAAAACACTTTGGAAAGGTACCAGTACTATGTGCAAAGTAGTAAGTCTAAAGTGGAAATGTTTTTAAGACCTCTACCATGAGTACTACAGAGTCAACAGCCATCTAATGCACCTACAGAAATCATTATCGAAGGTTCTTCTCCATGTCTCCTGTCCACTTCCCTTTAGAAGTGTTTCAAAGACTACAGGTGGCAAGGGTAGACCTAAAAGTATCTTGACAACATTGCTGAGGATGAATTCATGAGAGTGGAGGATAAAACTTACTTTTTAATAGCGATCAGTTCCCCGGACTCAATGCTCCTTCCCAGCAGGACGGAACCATAAGTCCCATCCCCCAGCTGCTTGATCGTCGTGTACCTATTCATGGTGTCCCCGCTCAGGATGGACACTCATCTCACTGCCGAGGTGGCTCAGCCCTGCAATGGTAGCAGGCCTCCCCAGAATGTAACCAGATTTTTCGATGGCAGCACCAGCACAAGGTATTCAACAGAACGTGACTATCTCCCAAATACATATTTTCAAAGATCAGTCTTCTGCCTATAGAGAAAATGAGAGACAAGGATAAATGCTAATGTATATTTTGAGTTTATATATTTTTAAACCAGCTCCTAGCCCACCACCTGTTCTTGCAAATAAAATTTTATTAGAACACAGTCATACCCACGCACCTGCATGTTGCCTGATGCTATCACAGCAGAGCAGTTGAGACAATGCATGGCCTGTGAAATCTAAAGGACAGCGGGTCCTCGAATAATGCTGTTTCACTATGTTGTTTCATTATAATGTTGTTGAGAAAAACAACAAAATCAACTTTGGCTGGGGCTACTGGCTGTGTGGAGTTTGTGTGTTCTCCTCATGTCTGTGAGTACTCTGATTTCCTCCCACTTCCCAAAGCTGTACACATTCAACCCCCCAGCATGTCTATGTGGTCCCAGTCTGAGCAACTGTGAGTGTGTGAGTGTGCCCTGTTATGGAATGGCACCCTGTCTGAGGGGGCTTCCCATCTTGTACCCTGAGCTGCCAGGACAGGCTCTGACTACCTCCAAACCTGAACTGGAATAAGTGGCTAAATAATTATCTTACTTGATTTTGTTAATTATATGTATTCCAATACTTAATATTAGATGTGTTTTGATCTTTAGTTAGAAGTTTTGTGGGATTTTTTTCCTATGACCAGAAATACACTATAGGAAGTTGTCTTGTTTGTATCAATTAGCCTACAGTAAAATTGGTTTTGCTATACATCATTTTGCTTAAAGTTGCAGTTTCCAAAAACCCATCAATGATGTTAAGCAAGGACTTACTAAGTTTGTCCATCCCTGGTCTAAGTTGATCTTTTCCAACTGTTTTATATAACTAGAAATGTAAGTGAGTTTGTCACTGACTCAGAAATGAAGCAGTTCAAATTCAAGGCTTTTCTGCTGACTAACCATTCTGGGCAAACTCCGCAAAATAACTACAGCTGATGAAAATTGCAGAGCTATGAAAATTCCTGCTACATAAACTGTTCTCTGTGCACTTCAATTACAATTAACAATATAAACAGACAAAAGCCAAGAAATGCTAAAAATTAAAGTTCTCCTGATGGAGCACTTATGGGCTCCATGAGCTATTCATAGCCAAGCACCAACAGTATTATTTTTACTAGACATTCCAAAGCTAAACTGAATTCAAGGCCTACATGTAGGGTATACCCCTTTTATAGTCATTCTGTTGTATGTTTTTCTCAATAATAAGTCATTGATTTTTTCATTTACATAATAGAGAGTTGTTCAGTCTGCCTATAAGAAGGAAATTGCATAATTACTTAAATGATTACAATGCCCAGAGGAGTGTCCAACCTGCAGCCATGGGCTGCACGTGGATTATGTGAGGACTGTTATGCTGATCTGGGATGTCACACATCAGACATTGGGGAAATTATGCACAGACCTTTTTTTTGCTCATCAGCTTTCTTGTTGGTGTATTCAATGTGTGGCCCAAGGCAACTCTTCTTCTTCCAACATGCAGCAGAGAAAAAAGGTTGGACACCCATGCTTATGTGAACATTAATAAAAATGTAAACGCTTAAATATGAATAAAGGTGTATATATATATTTTTTAGATACAGGTGTTAAACTATGAATCTAAAGAATCCAAAGACCAGAAAATAATGACTGGAAGCACATAACATCCTGCATTTAAACTCAGTCCAGGCAGCTTCTCGTCCAAGGGAATCCCAGTCAATACAATGTAAAAGGAAAGGGGAAAATAAGAAACTCCCCACACAGTAACGTTTGTTACAGGCAAGGTTCATGGATGGATGCAAAAATTAGGGGATGAAAGTGTACGGAGAAAAAGGACATTTGCATAATCTCAAAGTGTCTCTAAGATATTTACTAATGTCAAAGGAAAAATGGTAACTTCACTGGGAGAAATCTTTCACAGCAGAAACTTCCTCATACCTTGTGATCAAATTTAACATCACCACTAAGAGGGCATGACCTTATGTACTCTGGACGTGATGCACTTGAGGACGGTACAACGCCACTTCTGTGGAAAAAAGCAGAACCTCAATCTAACCACGAGAAAACATCAGACAGACCCCAAATGAGGGATAGTCTACAAACAACTTACCAGTCCTCTTTAAAAGTGTCAAGATTCCACAAGACAAGGACAGGCTGAGGGACAGGGGGAGGGACAGACTGGAGGTAATTAAGGAGACATAACAATTAAAGGCAACATGGGATCCTAGATAGGATCATGGGACAGAAAAGGACACCAGTAAAAAAACTGGTGACCTCTGAATAAGGTCTGTAGTGCCGCAGTATGGTATCTATGCTAATTTCTGGTTTCGATCACTATTCTGTGGTTATATAAATTGTCAGTATTAGGGAAAGCTAGATGAAGGATTTCAAGCAACTCTGTGCTATATTTGCAGCTTTTCTATAAATCTAAATTACTTCAAAATTTAAAAATAAATAGTCTGCTATGTTCTTCTGAAGACCACGTGTGAGTGTGAGAAATCTTAAGAAATATAAAGGTTATGCCTGATTTCACCACACTAATATAACCAAAACAGCTTTGAGAGATCACACTCCATGCTACCCCCCCAATTCCCTGGTCCCCTAGAGCCATTTTAAGGTCCCTGCTTAGAGGAGCATTTTCCTTCTTCTTGAAACTCTTCAGGGTCAGACTCCTGACAGCTCCC